GCTTAACCGACTGAGCCACCCAGGCGCCCCGTAATTTGCTTTTTCTTAACGTTGTATTAAGTTTGCGAAGGCGAGGAAAAGAAGGGGTCATTACGCTAAATCCCAAGACAAAAACGGGCTCAGGAGGGTCTGGCATCTGCCCAGTGGGCGGGCCAGCATTAAAGCAAAGCGCCGTCAGGAAGCCGCATCTCTTTTCACAGGCGAAGCTGGGCCTCCGGAGCTAAGGCGATGTGGCCGGCGGCCGCGGGGAAGCCCGGCGCTCCGACGTGCCTCATGCTTGGCAGCCCCGTCCGGCTGCAGCTCCCCGGGGTGCCAAGGCCACGGAGCACCCTGGCCGAGCCTCTCTTTAGTCCTTACTGGCTTTTCGCGGGCCACAAAATTAAGCTGTACCAAACAAAGCCTTCCCAACAAAATAAATTCCCCAAATGTGCTCACAAGACTTAAAATAAAGAAATGCACGTCAGGACACATGTTTAACTCAGAAAATACTAAAATATCGTACTGACAGCTTATTCTTTAATAAAACTCCGACAGATCTGTGAGCTGTGACGCACCACACGGTATTGGTGATGTACCGAAGAAGGCGCGGTGCGCAAAGCCCGCGGTGAAACCAAGCCTAAATAATACAGTATATAGGTTCTCATTTCTGTTTTGATTCATATAAAAAATTACAAAATATGCTCTGCCCCAAATTCCTAGGTCACAAGAATGAAACGAAAGCCCAGAATGAGGTGGTTTTACAAACGTATTCGACAGGAACATACGGGACCTCTGCTCTCAGGATGCCAGGCGCTGCAGGCTAGGGGCTCCAGGCCAAGTGGGTGCTGGCTGGCCTGTGGGGCAGTGGTCTCGGGGGGGGGCCAGGCCTCTCCCCGGAGCCCCCCATCCAAGGCTCGGCGGCAATCCGCGGGGCCCGGCCCTGCGCACCTGGTCTCATGCTCCCGGCAGGCGAGCCGGCATGGGCTGCTCAGTAGCCTCCGCCCTTCCTTTCGATCGTGGGCAGGCGATACTGCTTCAGGCTGGGCTTACTGTCCTTCTGCGCATCCGTCTGTTAAAGAGAACAGCAGACGCTCAGCGGGGCCGGGCCGGGCCGAGAGCCGTGGGCTATGGGGAGCTAGCGCGACGGGCTACCTTCTGGTTGGCGCCAACACACTTGAGGGGCCTGAGCACCGGCACTTTCCTGTTGGCCCCCGGGCCGAACACGGAGTGCAGCGCGGGGCTGGAGTACGAGGACAGTTTGGTGCCTCCCGAAAGCTTCAGTCTGGGCAGTTGCATTAGGTAGGCCGGTCCTGGTCTCTTGGGATGGTCCTCCTCTGGCTTTAGGGACTGTTTCTTGAAACAAAACACAGGTCAGTTGAACGTACAATGGTGTCCCCTTCACAGAAACTAGGAAAAACACAAGAGGCTCTTCTGCACGACTTTCGCCTAATGGAACTTGACCAAGAGGCGTGACCGCATGGTGACCAGACGGTATCCCTGCCACCCAGGTGACGTGCTGCTCATCGGAGCGTCCCCCCTGGGGGAGGCAGAGCCTCCACACTGGAGTCTGGGGCCTGGTTCTCCCCTGCAGGGCAGCCGACTGTAGCCGGGCCTGACGCCCGGGAGGCCACTGACACGGTCACGGCAGCGTTCCACGGGCCATAGCGGCGCTGGCGGCCCTGCTCCAAGTCCAGAGGTCGGCCAGATCCGCCCGCCCTGCTGCTTTAGTGCGGCGGGTGAGCCAAGAATGTTTTTTTTTTTAAAGATTCTGTTTACTTATTGGAGGGGAGGGAGAGAATCTCCAGCAGGCTCCCTGCCGAGCCCGGAGCCCGATGCGGGGCTTGATCCCACGACCCCGAGATCACGATCTGAGCCGAAGCCAAGAGCTAGAAACTCAACTGAGCCACCCGGGCACCCCTGCATTTTTTAACAGTTGAATCACAGTGTCCAAAGTTTTACTGGGACAGAGCCCCACTGTTCGTTTACGGTTCGTCCATGGCACCAGAGAAGAGGGCAGCTGTGATGGGACCTCATGGCCCACAAAGCTGGGAAGGCTCCCAGGTGGCCCCTCCAGACACGGGGGGGACTGTGGGGGGTGCTGGCAGGAGTGACGCAGTCAAATGTCTCACTGGAGGGAAGGGACAGCAGTTGGGAGGCAAAATGAGGGAGGCTCAGGTGACTGGGGAGGAGGGTGTCACCGTTCGGGGCCTGAAGAGCTGAAAGGGAGCTGCCTCTACCCTTAAAGGGAAGGCGTGGGGAGAAAAGCAGGTTTGGGGGGAGAGACCCGGAGATTGGGTCTGAACCACTCGGCCTATTGGCCAAATGGAACGATCAGGCAGGCGGCTGAACACAGCAGTCTGGAAGTCCGGAGAGCAGCTTGGCTGCAGATACGTCGGTGACCTCAGCTCCTAGCACGAAGTGACACGCAGCACATGCTGGGATGAGTGACGGAAGGGCACAGTCACCACACGGTGCAGTGCCAGCCCCCACGTGGAGCTGGGGGGAGCTGAGCAGCGGGGACCACTTGGGGCGCTCAAGGATGAAAAGACTGCAGAGGGAAGCTGTTGTTTCTAAAGCAAACAGTGTGTGCCCAGGCGAGTCCTCAACTGGGGCCTGCTGCGCGTGTGGGGACCTGTCACTGGCTCGCTGGGTCACCCAGGTCGGTTTAGCTTCTCCGTGCCCCCTGCTAGGGTCAGTCGGAGGGCACAGGGAGGTGACAGCTGCCAAGCGCTTTGGCAGGGAACCGGCCCCTGCGTGTGGGAGAATCCCGCCTGGCCTGGCCTGCACACACGGGACGCTCCTGTCCCCGCTAAGCTAGGGGGAGCAGAAGGGCAGGAACGATCGAGCCAGGCTCCCCGCGTCCTGGCACACAGAGACCTCAGGGGCACAGGGTCAGGCCTCGCTGACCGGTGGGGCCACCTGGCCTGCCATGGGGGGACGTCCTCCGCAGAGACATGGGCCACCTGAGGGCATCCAGTCCCAGCTACAAAGGCCATTTCCAGCTCCCTCACTTCACTCAGTACCTTTCTGTCCTCCTTTGAAGTGTGCCAACTGTTACTGAGAAGTTCCGATGCCATAGGGCGCTCTGGAAAGAAGGCTTTCCTGCGGCTGGCCAGAGCGTGCTTCTCAGCCGCCCTGCAGGGGAGGAGGAGAGAGGGCGTGTTCCCCTGAGAGGGTGCACAGCATGACTGCATGTCCCTCTCCTCGTTCCCAGGCTGGCCTATCCTGTGTGCTCACTGCCTCTTCCTTCCCACGTGAACTGTGGGCACGGGCCTGCCACGGGCCTGCAGCCCCCACGCTCACCACCACGCTCACCCTGGCAGGAGTGCCCTGAGGTGCGGGGTGAGACACCCTCAGGCAGCTCCTCCCGTGCCAGGTACCAAGGTGCCCCCAACCCCACAGCGAGCTCCCCCTGCTGTCACTGCTGCGCGCCAGGCCCCTCCTGGAGTCTTAACCACCGGAGCCTCGCATCAGCCTCAAAACAGCCACTGAGCCCTCCTCGTGCCCTGCCGAGGGCCACTGACCGCCTCCTCCTGGGAGGCCACACCAGAAAAGAGTGAGAGGGACATCTCGGGGGCACCCAAGTTCAGGACAGAGCTGTTCCCGGACCCACCCGCCCCCACTCATACCCCCCAGGCCTCAGCGGCACCACCTGCCGCCCCCCCGGAGCTGCACGGGAGCCCACCTCTGTTCTTGGAAGTACGGATGCTGCAGGGCCTGGTGGGCAGTGATTCTCTCATCAGGATCATAGGCCACCATTGCATGCAGGAGGGAGAGGCATTGCGAGGACAGATTGGCTGTCAATTGAGGTATTCCTGATCCCTTTTTAAAAGGAAAATCAAAACTCATAGCTCTCGACCTGTATTAAAAGCCCAATGATAATAAACAATCATGCCATTATTTAGAGCACTTGGCCAGCCATCATTATGATTCTACAGGGCCCTGCACCAATGACAGTTTATGCTCTAAGAAGGGGTGTGACTACGCAGTCGTCCAAACCCAGAGAATGTACGGCAGCAGAGGGACCCCTCATGTGAGCTGCGGACTCGGGGTGACGATGATGTGTCAGCGTGGGCTCATGGGGGAACCGACACGCCGCCCTGGTGCAGAGAGTCACGGTGAGGGAGGCTGTGCAGGCCCCCAGGTGGTCTATGGGGAATCTCTGTACCTTCCACTAAGTTTTGCTCTGAACCTGAAATTGCTCTAAAAAATAAGTGGGGCAGGGGTGTGTGTGAAATCTGTCGTGCTATCAATGTAAGAAAACGACTTTTCCCCGAGAGGACTAACAGCACGTTCTTACCTGAGAAGAAAGAGATAAAACTTAAAAGGAGGAAAAGGAAGAATCCGTAACAGTTGTCTCTCCTTACCTTCCCTGGGCCCAGGAGCTGCCCACCCGCTGCCCCACGGGGCTCTCCCTCAGAAGCCCCAGCTCCCCAGATTCCGCTGGCTCTCCGACCAAAACCAAACCCTAACCAGTCGTGGTCTGGGTGTCAGCGTCGCCAGCAACGGCCACACGAACGCCTCACCACGCATAGCCTTTATGTGGGAACCTTCTCCGCCCAAAGGTCTCTCAGTCTGGGGTAAATATTCGGAGGACAAAACCTGACTGCCAGGCCCTCAGCAAGACCATCTGAACTCTTCTGTGCTGCTGGAGGGAGCGCGCCCCTGGCAGGACCCCTGGGGGACCACAGCCCCGAGCAGCTGCCGCATTGCCTCCCTTCAGCAGCAGCGGGGACCCAAGCAGATGGAGGGCCTACAAGGGTAGGAGAGGCGCAGCCTGGGCCCCTCGGCTGGCTGCCACCACCAGCCTTGGCAGGGGGCAAGTCCACACGGGACTCTTGGGCACATGCCGCACTTACTGTTTGAACTTGGTGAGGGTCTTCTCAGCAGGGGTGCCGATGACGTCGTGGATTTTTGAGATCTGGTCCAGCTCGTTGGCTCCGGGGAAGAGGGGCTGCAGACTGGAAGAGCAGGACGGCGCTGTGGTTAGAGCAGGCCACAGTTTCTTCCTCCCAATGTCCCCTTCTGCTGGGCGGCTAGCTCACATGGAACCCCGAGGACACAATCCCCCAGGTGTGGTCCTCCTTGCAGCTATGGGCTTTCCATTCCCCTTCGGCTCAGGCCTGTTTCTCCTTTCCCAACAGGGGGGTGTCATCCTAAGAGATGGCCACATTCCTCTCTGTACACCCTGAGATCTCCGCGGCAAGACATGTCACCTCCGTAAGTCTCCTGTCACAGGGGAGGCTTTCCAACAAAAATTCAGGGTGGGTTGGGTCTGGTTTTGGTGACAAATGAAGTCCAAGAAACAAAGTTTTGGTTCTTGGAGCTTTTACGGATTTTGGAATCGTGGATGAAAGATTTTAGGCTTACATAAATAAATTCAATTCACATGACAAGCCGCAAAGAAGAGTTTAGAACAGCAGCTCCGCATAGGAAAGCAGCCATGGCTACGGGAGACAGGAGGAAAGCCTGGGCAGGCAGGGAGCAGCTCTGACACTTGGGAAGGGGCGCGGGGGGAGGGCCAGGGTTGCTGGGGTGTGTGTGGCAGGCCCCCCACAGGCTGCCCCGCACGCTGGTGAGACACCACCAGCCATCACGTCCTCCACACTGAAGTCCTTCACCACCCGTAGGGATTTTAGCGCAGCAGAAAGGACTGTCTGTCAGTACTTGAAGCTCAGTGAAAGTGCCACTCAGCTTTCCAAAAAAAACAAGCCGATTACCAACAGGTGTGTCCTGAAGGACACGCATGTCCGTATTTATGAAGTGGGCAGCTGAGCTGGTGAGAGCAGACGACCCGGCTCCCCGCCTATGATGCATATCACCCAGATGTTAAATTCACCTGCTCGTCCTTAATTGTCCACTCCAAGCAAGCGAATGCCGGCCCACCCGCTCTGTGTGAAGCTACAAAGCCTGGGGGGTGTGGAGGCCGGGGAGGAGGTTAGAACTTGGGGCTTTCTAGAATCCAGCTGTGCCACAAGGTGACCCATCCTCACACTTGTGACCAGAGCATCCTACTTGATGGATTGTCTCTCTTAGGGTAGGTCCCAGGAGCAGGGGCGCTGCTCACATATCCCCATGGCAGGCCCCACAAGGTGGCAGTGAGCACGTTTCTACTGTCCCTGAACTCACGAATCCATCATTTCACTGATGAAGCCAAATGGGGAGGCCTGCCGGCCTACGGCCAAGTTATGCCAGTAGGAAAGAAGTAACTGATACTATTCTGCACTTTGTGACAAGCAAACAAGGAAAAGTACTTGACAAAAAGGAAAATGAAAGCCTGGTACGTTTTCTGTCAAGTTAAACAGTCACATGGGCAGGACGACTGTAAAGTCTGTCTGGTAAAGGAAGGGCCTGGCCCGAAGCCACGCGGTAGGTAGGCCGAGCCTCACCATGCGGCCTGCGTCAGGACATTTGCACGGAGGCCCGCCAGCACCAGCAGGGGTTTTCCGACACAAGGCGGGCCCCAGCTCTACCTGGCGATCTCATAGAACACACAGCCAGCGCTCCACAGGTCCATCTTGTAGGTGTAGAAGCCGTCGGTGAGGAGACACTCTGGGGCGCGGTACCAGCGGGTAGAAATGTACTCTGTGTAGGGCTGCTTGGAATAGACACTCCGGCAGGATCCAAAGTCCCCTAACTTCAGGACATCCTGCTGCAGGGACAAATGACATCTCATCAAGCAGCTGTTATAATACAGACCACTTCAAATAGTTATGCACCAACGGGAAAATGACTAGCATCAAAACTAGCTTATAAAATACAAATTACTTCATAAGCACCCGCAAGCGCCTCTAACTGATGACAAAGTGGTGTTTCTATTCAGTGGGATACGTTTACAAATATTCTGGCTATGTTTTACAAATATTTCCAAATGTCTACAGGTTTTGGAAAATTTTAAGTCACAGCATGAGTCTACAAATGCATTAAACAAACACCACAGTGGTTCGTTTGTCTCTAACTTCCCAGCAGTCCAGCTCTGCTGGCAACTTTGTTCTCCACTGGGGGGTGGGGGGGCCGGCTCTCTGGAGCCATGGGTTCTTTGGAGCAAATCAGACAGACCGCGGAGACACGTTTTGGGATACCTCTTCAACTTTGTTTACCCCTCACATTCAGGTAATAACATACAGGCTGTCAATAAATTTGGAGCCCCGGGTACCTACACCTACAGCAAACGTTTAACACAGCATGTTTACCAGCCAGGTTATCGAGAAACTTCATTCCAACGGCCTTTCACCTGATCCCATTACCCAATGCATCATGTCGGACCTCCAACAAAATTGTAAGGTGTGTTAAAAGGCAAGAAAAACAGTCTGAGAGACAAAGCAAGCATCAGAACCAGTTTCAGATGTGGCACAGATTTAGGAATTTTGGAATTACCAGTCAGGGAATTTAAAATCACTGTGAGTGATCTGTTAAGGGCTCTAGTGGAAAAAGTAGATGATGGGAAAGTTCAGGGAAAGTTCAGATGGGAAATGCAAGCAGAGAGTTGGAAACTCTAAGAAAGAATCCAAAGGAAGCACTAGAAATAAAAAACACTGCAACAGAAATAAAAATGACTTTGATAAGCTCATCCACAGGCTAAACAGTCAAAGAAAGAATCAGTGAGCTGGAAGATGCTCCAACAGAAACTTCCAAACTGAAATGCAGAGAGAACAAATAATGGCAAAAACAGAGAAGAACAGTCAAGAACCGTGGGACAACTTCAAAAGGTGTGGTACTCACACTACAATGTGGACAAACGTCAGAATGATGACGCTGAGGGAAAAATCCAGACCAAGAAAGAGCACATACTATAGATGCCATTTAAAGAATATTCCAGAAAGTGCAAACTAATATATAATGACAGAAAGTTAGTCTTTGTCTGAGGACAACGGACAGGAGGGACGACCAAGGAGCACGAGGAACCTTCCCGGGGCGAGAGCTCTGCTTGCTTGGCTGTGACAACGGCTTCGTGTGTATACACATATTCCCAAACTTACCGGGCTGCAGGCTTCAAGTATGTACAGTTGACGTGGCTACAGACTGGGACAGACCTGAGCGCAAATCCTGACTCTTCTACTTTCACATGCACAGTGTTTGGAGGGATAATATGAATGGAGTTTATTTACCTATTATTTTTTTTTAAGTAGTGCCTACACCCAACATGGGGCTTGAATTCATGACCCTGAAGTCACACGCTCCACTGACTGAGGCAGCCCGGCGCCCCCGGGGTTGATTTTTGCCTATAGTAAGAGAAGAGTGCCTAAGATAATTTCCTTCCAGATGTACAGTTGTGTTGATGGCGCTTATTAAATAAACCACTTTTTCCAACTGGGAGAAAACAACAACAGCATAACCAACATGGTGCCCAACTATCTGGGATTGAAAGCCTATCTAGTAAAAAGGTTTCCCATTCTACCTTTCTTTGATACCATTTTTTTTAATATAGAAGTTCTTACCTTTATTAATATATTTTCTGGCTTTACATCTCTGTGAAATATTCCATTTCTGCATTCAATATAAAAGGAAGGATAGAATTAATTTGTGCCTCATTCAAATTCTTTTACATTGAATTTTTAATGAATGTGAATACGTTTTATCAATTTGAGAGATGCCAAGTCTCCAGGAGCGTACCTGTGCATATGATCAAGGGATTTACATAACTGGTACATATAGTGCATAATCTTTTTTTCTGACAATGGGTGTCTTCTCCCTGTGCGATCAAGGAAATTGCCAAATATGCTTACCAATGATACATATCCCATTTTTTTAAAACATAAATAGAATCCAACAATTTTATTTAATGATGTGTGAAAATCTAAAAAACCTTTAGTAATTTCAGGAAATATGGACTGTACATACTAAATACACCATTTAAAATTCTACATACTGGCATGATTTCATGTAAAATCCCCCATGCACGCATTCTGATCACTACAGTAGTACTAAGTAATAAGCACCAGAGTAGTTTGGTCTGATAAACCCCACTCGAGCCCCCCGCCCCACACACACACCAGTGCAGGCCTTCCGGAACATGCCCTTTCGAACTGTTGATTATGAAGTGTCAGGAGTCACTTGAAAATCCAGGGTTTTCCTCAGCTTCCAGTCTGGACTTTTTTTTTTTTTTAGATTTTATTTATTTGAGACAGAGAGAGAGCGACCATGCTTGAGTGCAAGTGGGGAGGAGGGACAGGTTCAAGCAGACTTCACCTCACACGACCCTGAGATCATGACTTGAGCCGAAACCAAGAGTCCATGCTCCACCGAATGAGTCACCCAGGTGCCCCTGGAGATTTCCATTTTAAAGGGGGAGGGATCACAGTTCCACAGAAGTGTGTTCGTAATGGAAGAAGACCCAGGATTGCTTTGCATTTCACAGCCCACTCTCCTCTGAGGGGAAGCAGCCATTGTTTGGCTTCCATCCGCTCGCGCACACCGGCTCACCAGGCCTGGCCGCCTGTGGGGTCTTATATGTCCTACAACTCTTAACACCACACTCCAGCATCACGGTTATCCTTGTTTCAGAAGATGTCACATTTTACTTGATTTTAACTTCCAAAGGTGTGCGTTTTTATTAAGTTCTAAATCTGAAAAACAACCATTCTCTCCTAATAATCCAGAAAACCACTTTCCTCTCTGTAAGCGCATATCATATTTGACATTTTTGCTCCTAAGTTTGCAATTTCTGTTGACAAATAAATTTATTCTTTTTCTCTCACTAGACAAGAATGTTTTGGTTTTTTTTTTAAAGATCTTATTTATTTATTTGACAGAGGGAGAGACAGCGAGAGAGGGAACACAAGCAGGGGGAGCGGGAGAGGAAGAAGCAGGCTTCCGCTGAGCAGGGAGCCCGACTCGGGGCTCGATCCCAGGACCCCTGGGATCATGACCTGAGCGGAAGACAGACGCTTAACGACTGAGCCACCCAGGCGCCCCAAGAATATTTTCTGTTAATAGAAAGTAATTTAAATTACAAAATGTCTAAGTACAATTAGCTTTTTCATAATACTGTAATCTTTTTATTGTTTCAAATAATTTATCACCCACTTTCTAGAATTTAAAAGAATTAAATGAAGACTTAGTCATCTTTCCCTAACTTGAGTAATTCTGTAACTTTATATTGAATTCCTATCTGTATAAAGATGAAAAGAAAGCAAAATTTCTCCATCACATGTGCCGTTGGATGAAGCTTCCTGAAATCTGGTTCTTGTCCTGTGATGGGGTCTCACTGCCCACTGAATTAGCCCAGCACTTGGGAACCCCTTCCTCCCAACCAGGGGCTCTCAGGCTCCAGGGGCAGCTGAATCCCCTGGGAGCTCGTGAAGACACAGGATGCCCCCCTCCCCCCTGCCCCTAGGCATTTGGGGTCCAGCAGGTCTGCCTTAGGAATAAGTTCCCAGGTGCGGCTGCCAGGCCTAGACCCTTACTCTGAGAACCACGTCCACCACATCCCTGTTTACTGAATGCTCCAGCCACATTCACCTGTGGTGATCATCTGCACATGCCTCCAAAGCTCTCCTGTTTCATGGCTGTGCTCAGGCCGTTCTGTTCTAGGAGCACCTGTCCCAGCCACCCAGACCTCACAGCATAAACTGGTCAGGACAGTCATCTGAACTTGCACTCAGGAAGGTGGACTCTTTTAGGGAAAGTCTAACCCACCTAATCATCATCATCACCTAGGGATGCTTTAAAATGGCAATTCCCATGGAGCGCCTGGGTGGCTCAGTCGGGTAAGCCTCTGATTCTTGATTTAGGCTCAGGTCATGATCTCAGGATTGTCTACTTGTCCCTCTCCCTCTGCTCGTGCGTGTGTGCTCTCGCCCTCTCTCTCTCTCAAATAAAATCTTTTAAAAAAATAAAATGGCAATTCCCAGCTCCAAACCCAGACCTAATGAGTCACAAAACCAAAATATATGGGCCAGGAATCTGCATTTCTTGGCTGCCCTCAGTCCCCAGTGAATGAGCCTCTTTGGGTGCTGACCCTTCCTTTCCTCTTTGTTCCCCCCACACACACCCATTCATAGCCCTGCAGGTAAGGATGTGGCTTCCCCTGCCCCCGTGCCCCTCCGTGAGAATCTCTGCCTTCATGAGGGGGCTCCTGAGGGAGTGAGGTGCAGTGTGAACTGTGTGGGAACCTTGGTCTCAATAATCACGGAGTCCACACCCTTGACCAAGAGAGGGTTGCCTACCCATTCTCTACAACGGTTTTTCAAAAACAAGATCCTAACTTTCCAGGCCCGAGACTCTATCTGGTTCCTAACAGATTCTTGTTCTTAAACATCTTGAAACAAATAGAAGAATTAATAAACCACTCGTAAGCTCCTGTGTGAGTCTTCCTAAACACCAACAGACCGTGAACAGCGCCTCCCGACCAAGTTTATTTTTGCAAGCGAATTTTTTAACCAAATACCCTCGTTTAGAAGATTCTACACAATGTCATATACAATACCCGTAATGTAAAAAATATTTCCAGGAACACAATGATAAACTGCGGCATTTGTTGCTGGGACTAACTGAAGGAATGTGGCCACCAGGGTAGTCTGCACTGGAACAGAGTATCTCACACACACCCCTTCCCACAAGAGACCCCATCTGCAGGCCTGTGCCAGGCTCTCCCGCTCAGGCTTGGAGGGGCATGCTGGGGTCCAGCATGGCACAGGCAAATAAATGGTCTACCACACACACCTTGGCCCAGAGGCTGTGCCTACGGCACCAGGCATGCACATACTTGCCACAGCACCTTCCAAAGGAGAAGTCCGCATTATGGCACACCGATCTGAGGTTAAAGACCCTGCCCTGCGGGGGGGCGGGGGGAGGCAGGATGTCAGCCTTAGCTGGAGCCTGAGCCACCCCCCACCCCGCACCCCTCCCTTTCAACCATGGCAAAGCTCAAGGACAGGTCCTCCAGCTCTGCTCTATGAAACCAGTTCATCCTCAGCAAGTGCTGGGACTTCTGTGAAATTCCACTTCCTCACCTCTACCACAGAGGCGAGCACACGGGACGGGAAGCCCAGATGGTCCTGCAGAGCATGCACACTAAGCAAGGTTAACATAATACTAACGAGGAGAAGGACAGCAATCTGCGTGTACTGAAGACTGTGCAAGGGGCCACTGGTCGAAACATGGCGCGCATTACTTTACTGGCCCCCCACAACCCCCTGAAGAGTTAGACCCTAGGATCATTCCCATTTCACAGACAAGGACCAAGGCTCACGGGCCTGACCCAGAACTGCCGTCCTCGAACACGCAGGACAAGGGCACTCTGTGCTGCGGCCACACAGCCAAACTGTAGCCACACTTCCAGAAGCAACAGCATCAAAACTAACAGGATGGTGGCGTGGGCTTGGAAGAAAATTCCAGCAACAAAAAGGCTGCATCGTTCACACCCTGTCTGAATGGCGTAAGGAAAACAAAGACATCGATCGCTGTGTCAGAATGTTTCGAAATGTTTCAAATAAACCACCCAGGGCCGCTAGTGGTGTGGCTGGTGCCCAGGCGTGACAGCTACTCACTCCCTTCCGTGAAGGTTCTTCCCAAGTGAGGGGCGGGCAAAACACCCTCGCCACCTCTTTGTTGGTCTCCCCACCCCCATTCTTGCCCTCACGGCTCACAGCGCAGACCCAGCCCAACCCCGATCTCGCAGGCTAAGTGTGAAAGCCCAGAGCAATGCTCTTAGGGTTGCTTGTAGCTGGGAGCTCCAGATGTGATTGGGTTCTGCCTAAATCAGACCACTCGGGGAAGAGGATTCAGGCCCGAGTTACGGGGGCAGACGAGAGAAGGGAGAGCATCCAGTGTGAGCGCAGATGGTGGTGAAGGCGGCTTCCTGACTGTGCAGAGGCAGTAGCCTCCCTGACAGCTCAATCCTGCAGAACCGTTTTTGGAAGCTGCTTCCTGGATGCCACATCCAGAGCGTCTCTTCAGCGTCTCCCAGCGACTCTGTGAAGCCATCCATATCCATACACCCCTTGGGGTTAAACTGGCGAGAATAGATGCTGTTGTTTGCAGTTAGAAGAGATGACCAATACGTCCACCTATGGCCCATTCACTCTTTAAACATTCTTTCAACAGAAACATCCTTCTAAAAAGCATAGTCCATGAACTGATACTGGTCCAGGGGCTGTTTGTTACTGGTTTAAGAGATGACAAAACTAAGAGCAACCGGGAACTTTTATGGCAATTCAACATTGCTGGGACATCCAAGCACATCATCGTTTTTCCAGTATCTAATTTTTATGTATTTTACAAAAGTTTTGGTCCACAACAGATTAGGGGGAAAAAATGAACAAAAAACTGTCTTCCACTATAGATAGTTTTAGAAACACTGGTCTACACCAATCGAAAGATGCTTCTCCCCTGCTTTAAAATCCACTAGTGCTTCCTGTTGAACTTAGAATAACCTGAATTCTTGGAATAACCTGGCCCTACCCGCCCCACTGGCCCCTACCTACCTCACTGCCTATAACTCTCTTCCTTGTGCTCCAGCCACACTGGCCTCTTAACCTCATGGTGGCCTCAAGACCTTTGCATTAGCTGTCTCTGTCTGAAATACTCCGTCCCCATCACTCTGACATATGACCTGTTTTATTCACTCGTAACACTTATCCCTGTCTCGAATTCTTTCTTGATTTCTTTACTTGTTCAGCGTCTCTCTCTTCCTCAGAGTGTGAGCCCACGTGGGTGAGACCATGTCTGTCCCCACTGTGCCCACCTCCA